AATGCATTTTTTTTAAAAACCCAAGCGTCTATGTTAACGTGAATTTAAAGCCCCTGGAAAGTTAACAGATGTTGTTTAAATCTGGTACTTTTCTTATCGCTTTGCTTGTTGATTTAACTSGGGATGATGCAAGCTCTAGAACTGTGTCATACAGCTAAAAAAAAAAAGAGAGAGAACGCGCACAGACCCATTCCGAGCCATGTTTTGATCTCCAAGCCGCATGTTTTTGACCACTTTATCCTCCTGCGGTCGGCAGAATCGTTTTCCACTCGCAATAGGAAAGAGCAGAGACACATTTTTAACGAGGAGCAGCGCCACGTTTGTGCAAAGGGCTCCCTCCCCGCATTCGCATCGAGAGGCGCTGCAAAGCCGGGAGGCAGCTGCGCCAGTGACACAAACAGGCGCCCTGCATGTAAATAAGGCTCCTCCGGAGCGAGCCCTCGAGGGGAGCTCGCGTTTCCACGCGTTGCTAACGCGGGGCCGGCGCTGGCTGCGCGCCGCGGCCCCGCGAAAGGGCGCGGGGCAGCCCTTGAAAACACTATAGCCCCACGGCAGAACTGACGGACACAACTGACATGACATATAGCTGAGAGATACCGGCATCAGCGCGCGGATGGAGCCTGTTTTCCCGTTTTCCAGCGCTCGCCATTTGCAGCCATGTGCGTGTTTGTGTAGACGGGGGGGCTTGCTGCGAGCCTGACGCAGGCGGCGGGAGCGAGCGAGACCGAAGGAAAAAGCAGCTCGAAGGGAAAAGCGGCTCCCGCGCGGCCACCTGAGCGCCTGGCCCCTGCCCTGCACGTGCCGCCTCCCCTCGGCACCTCTGCCGAGCAGCCACTTACCTTCTTCCCTCCCACACGGTCCGCAGGGCGCTCCTGCTCTAGCCTGGCTTGGGTTGGGGTGTTTTGGGTGATTGGTTTGGTTTGKTTTGTTTCTCCCTGTCCTCTGCAATGGCTGCCCGAGCCAGGCTTTCCTCCCCCATCTAATTTCATTCTGCCGTGGAGGGCAAGGTTTAATTCCCCGCAGAGCTGAGGAAGCTTCGAAATAACCCCCCAACACACGCGCGCCTCCACCTTGAGCGAGGAAAAAAAAAAAAAAAAAAAAAAAAAAAAAGCAGCTTGGAAGAAAACAACAAAAGGTATAAAAGAAAATGTGGAGAGAAAAGGGCACGTGCAGGAGCTCGGGGCGCTCATGGCGGCCGCGGGGCGCCGGGCGCTGCAGCAGCAGCAGCAGCAGCAGCCGGGCCAGGCCGCGGCGGCTCCTCCCCGCCATCCCCCCGGCCGGGGGCGGGGAGGGCAGCCCGGCGGCAGCCGCACAACAAAGCGCCATGTGACGGAGGGCCGCGAGCGGCGGCGCTGCCCGCCGCGGCCCCCGCGCCGCCGCCCCGCTCCTCCCGCGGCTCCCCCTGCTCATTTGCCTGGCTCCCCCCTTCCTCCAACACCACTTTTTTTCCTGGCTTGCTTTTGGGGGGTTGTTGTCGCGGTTAAAAAAAAAAAAAAAAATCTTCCGCATTAGGCTACTTTCCTCTTTGGGTATTTACCCGAGGCTGCGGCGGGGGGAAGGGAGGAAGGCGAGGGGCGGGCTGCGTTATTTATAGGCACCCAGGGCTTCGCCGACATTATGCGAACTGCCTTTGTCCTCCCCGCCCGGCCGCACTGCCAGCCCGGCCGCGGCCCCCCCGCGCCGCTCCGCTTCCCTTCCCCTCCCCCGGCCCCCGCCATGGCTGGAGCGGCGCCAGCGCCGCCGAATGCGGCGCTCCCTCCCGCTGCTGCAGGGCGCTCCCCGCCGCCGCCATCTTGTGCACGCCACAGCCTCGGCGAAGGGGGAAGCGGGGAGGGGGGGGAAGCTACCGGCCCCACCGCAAACCCTCCCGCGACGACGGGCTGAGGTGGCGCGGGGAGAAGCGGCCGTTTTCCCCCGCAGCCACCGGGACGCGGAGCTCGGCAGGGAACCCCAGCACTGAGGAGAACTGCGGCGCCCGAAGGAGAAGCCATGATGGCCGCCGGCTTCACACACCGCGGAGCGCCGCCGGGAGCCACCGCCGGCCGCCCCTGCCCGGCACCCGGGACGCGGGGGGCTTCTCACCAGCTTTCACATAATAATCATAATAATAATAAAAACACCAAGCCGCCGGCGGGAAGGCCGCTTCACGTGCTGAGTGGCCGCACTAAAGCACAACTGCTGTGAATATCAACTGCGTCACGTCTTTCCAACTGTAAAATGCAGGCTGCAAAGGGTCCTTCACTTGGAAGGAAGCTCACTCATTTTGGATTTACTTCCAGACCTACATTTTTGCCCCCCTCTCCAAGCCACTGCCTCTCGCTATGAAGAATTTTACAGCGATTTTCTTTTTCTAAAAAAAGAAAAAAAAAATACATGTAGAGTGAGACATCCTCCATTAAGACGCTCACCATCCTGAAAAACAACCCCCCATTTTGTTGCTTTTGAATTTTTCTGTCGAACCAAACGCTTCAGTAACTAGAGGGACAAACATGTAAGGGATCCCACCACCACCGCCGACTTCTCGATTTTTTTCTTTCTTTAAATCAACCTTATCAATATCTTACTGTTTGTAGGCAGTTTTTTTTTTGTGCATTCATTTTGAACAGCCACGTAACGCCTGCACGGATTCACAGCAGCGTCTCTCCGCACAAAGGGGGAAAAAAAAAAAGAAAAGCAGGGCTGAAGACAAGCAAGCTTTGTGCAGAAAAAAAAAMCTGAAAAATATACATTGAGATATGCTCTGTATGTATCTAGCAAGAAGAGGAGAGCTACCATTTTTACAGACCGTCGTTGGGACCGCTCTGTTCTGCCTAGGACAAAAACATTTGCTGCACAGGCCTGGTCTATATGTTTCTCTGCAAGGGCAAAAGGCTCTACTTACCCGCACACCATAGCTGAACGCGGTTCTGAAGGTGAAGTTGTTACGCTTTTTAAAATATGCCTATAAATATATATGATCTGTATCACCAGTTCTCTCGTAAGTTTGCAAGTCAAAACGGATCTCGTTATTTACGGATCTCTGTATGGCAATGCTCTAACATCAGAAAAAAAAAGTGCTTTTTCCTAAAAAGAAGAAAGATAACCCCCAAAAGAAAAAAACCTAGAAAATGTTGTCCAGCTATGTTGACTGACAGTATCCAGTTAGGACTTCTACTCAAGGCTTAAATCTAAGTTCCCGGGAGAGATTTACTCTGTACATAAAAAAAAAAAAAAAAAAAAAAAAAAAAAACATTCAGTGTTTTTCCACCGAATCCGCAGAAACTACTGTTTTCCTCAGTAGTCTGTACATGTTAGTGTGAAAACACCTGGTTAACATTTACTGATCGTAAGCAACTTCAAACATCTCTATCTAGCTTGCTTGCCTTATATAAGTAAAATATTTTAAAAGCATAAATTGGTTTAGATAAACAGACAAAAACATAGTACATGCAAATGAAGGCTTAGAAATAAGGACCACTTCAGTAACATTAACATGAAAACTACACTTAGTAAGGACAGAATGGATTGGGTACTTACAACATAAGAGAGAGAAAAAAAAGAAAGCTTATCATAATAAAATTGCCTTTTTTTTTTGCCAGTATTCACTATTCCTATATCTATATTCAAAACATTACCTTATAAGCACCAGAGGAGTTAATAAAAAAAACTGGCCAGGAATTAAGTGTTTAATACAGGAAATACTTCCTAAAATTTATTGTTCAATCATCGTATAGCTCTAAAGCTTAAAAAAAAAACAAACAAAAACATGTTATTTACTTATTATTTTTGCATTCAAAATTGTTACTGCTGACATAGGGTGTGCCATGACCTAGTTACACAAGACAAAGATGGATTCCAGCTCAGAGGGAAAAATCCAAAATCTTTTTTTTTTTTGGGTCTTCCTTCTTCAGTGAGTCCTCTAAAGCCTGTTGCCAGACATTAGCACAACCCTGAGCAGTCCTGAAATGGATGGCAGTGGATTCGAGTGGAGTATTCCCCCTTTTGGAACAAAGGAAAAGCCCAGTTGGCCATTTTAATTCCAATGCAGAAAAATGGCTGCCTGGTCTCTTGGCCTCTCCTTAGCTCTGTCTGCTGAGGGATGTTTTTAGCCGCGCGTCTAATAACTCAAAGCCCCGATGGAAGCCGCGCGCCCATTGGCTCGCGGCCGCGCGCTCCCTTTAATCAGCCAATTACGCGGCCGCGCGGCCCCCGCGCGCGCACCCGCCGCGCCCGCGCCCCCTGCGCCCGGCTCCGCGCCCCGGCCGCGGGAGGGAGGGGGGAGGCGGGGGGGGGAATCCGTAGCGCGCGCGCGCGGCCTTTAATAGCGAAAACAAAATGGAAGCCGCGCGCTGATTGGCTGCCGGCAGAGCCGGACCTTTAATAAGCAAAAACCGCCGCTTTCCTCCCCCCAGCTTTATTTTTTCCCCCTCTTTTCTCCCCAATCGTGTGAAATTGCCACAGTGTCGCCAAACGGCGCCGAGCCGCGCGGGGCCCCCCTTCGCTGCCGCCGCAGGGCGCTCCGCCCGCCCCCTGCTTGCTCCCTCCCTCTGTGCGGGGCGTCGCGGCTCTGGACGAAATCTCTTTTTTTTTTTTTTAACCCCCAGGAAAGAAAAAAATAAATAAAAAAATAAAATAACAACTTGTCCCACCTAGGTCCATCTTGTTTAGAAACACTTTGCGCTAAGGTAAATGCAGCGGGCAGATTCCACGCTTCCCCCCCCTCCCCTCCCGCCGCACGCCCTTAATGCCGGAGGAGGAGAAAAAATCTATATATTAAAAAAAAATAGCGAATAAATTTAAAGAGCCCCCGCTTGTCGGAGGGAGAGGGGGGGGCCCATGTGGCGGCGCGGGGCGGCCGCGGCGGCGGCGGGGGGCTGCGCGGCGCGGCGCGGCCGCCGTGAATGTGCAGGCGGCGGAGGGCGGTTAGAGGCGTCCGCGGCGCTCGCAGCGGTGAATTGTGGGAGGCCGCCGCCGCCAGCAGCGAGCGCACACACAATATGTGGTGGCTCGCGAAGGCGGCGGGCAGGAGCCTGGCGGGCAGCCCGCGCCGGTAACCGGCCCCATGTGAGCGCCCCGCTCTCGCCTTCCGCCGCCCGCACGCGATCGGCCGCCAAGCGCGATGTCTTTCCGAGAGACCAAGGCGGGGGAGAGAGCCAAGCACCCTGAAGATCATGGCAAAAAGCAGAGTTCAAGTGAGATTGGGGCTTTTTTTTTTTTTTTTCCTCTTTCCCTTCCTCTCTCTCTCTCTCTCTCTCTCTGCTTCTCCTCCCTTTCTGCCTCTTGTCTCGCCGGGGTGGAGGGAGGGAGGGAAGCGGGGACACACACGGCTCGCAATTCCCCCATTTTAGGGCTCGCTTCTTGGTGGATTTCCTCCCTGCCTGGGTGTGTGTGTGTGAGAAAGAGAGAGACGGCGGTTCGTTTAAAAAACAAAAACGCAGGTCTTTGTTGAATATTTTTTAACTTCGGGGTTTTCTGCCTGGTTTTATTTTTTATTGTGATTTTTTTCTCCCTTTCCTCCTCCCTGCCTTGTCTCCCCCGTCCAGGTTGGATCAACGGAATGGAGAACAGCACCCAAGCCAGCACTTCTGTCGAGAAAAGAAATCACCATTGGAGAAGTTACAAGTTGATTATTGACCCGGCTCTGAAAAAAGGACAGCACAAACTCTATCGTTACGATGGGCAACATTTTAGCATGCCTGTGAGTGCGGGGATTGCCGCGTGCCCCCCTGTGCCGTGTTGTGTGTGTCCCCCCCAACCCCCTGTCCGAGTTGCTGGGGTCCCCCGGGCCCCCTGTTCCCCACCGGAGCCCCTGTGTATTGGTGGGGGGTCGGCAGGGTGGGGGGACACAGCCACGGAAGTTCCTGCCACCTGACATGATGTATTCAACTGTCAGGAGCCCCGAAAGGAGCCCAAACCTGCAGCGCTCTGCCTGTGTTTCCAATCTGTGTGCATTTCCCAGCAGTATTGCAATTTGACACGTGTGTGTATGTGTGTGTCTGTGCTTTTCTGTTCCCCGGAGGCTTCCTATGCTTTGCCGGGGTTTATTTATTTTATTTACTTATTTATTTATTTCGTTTGTGGCTTAAATTTCAAGCAGTGTTACTGCTGTTTTTGTGCCTTTTCTTCTCCTCCTCCCAGAACTCTGGAATCGCTCCTGTGGATTGTGTCAGAGATCCCAGAATCGGGCGAATATGGACCAAAACTAAGGAGTTGGAGCTGTCTGTCCCCAAATTCAAGGTACTGCCCCTCTCTCTTGGGCTTAGCTTGGTATTCTTGTTTATCCGGGAGTGAAGCTTGAGTTGCAGATAGTTTAATGAACCGCTTAAATGACAGTCATATTCCTGTTAACATTATTATTTGGCGAGCCGTTTAACAATAATCCGATTCCCTAAAGATAACAAAAAATCAATACATCTGTCTAATAACTTTGAGTTGAACGTTTTGGAGTTGTGTCTTGGGTGCTCCTCTCCGGGAGGGTGGGTGACAGAGGGCGGCTGTCGGCTGGTAGCCCTGTTCAAAATACGTATTCCTGGCACCCTGCTGAATGAATGGTTGAAGCGGCAGCGACTCCGCTGCTCCSGGGCTGGTGTGGGAGCCTTCCAGGCAGTTTCTTTCCCCAAAGTTCTGCAGGAGGCTTTAACCCTCTCCGTGCCGCGCCATCCTCGTGCCGGTTTCCCTCCCCGCTCTTCAGCGCTGGCGCTGGTTCTCATTGCCACCCTCGTGCCTGTTTCCAGATCGATGAATTCTACGTGGGGCCAGTGCCGCCCAAGCAGGTCACCTTTGCCAAGCTGAATGACAACATCCGTGAAAACTTTTTGACCGACATGTGCAAGAAATACGGCGAAGTGGAAGAGGTGGAGATTCTCTACAACCCCAAGAACAAGAAGCACCTGGGCATCGCCAAAGTGATCTTTGCCACCGTGAAGGGTGCCCGGGAGGCTGTGCAGCACCTTCACAACACCTCCGTCATGGGCAACATCATCCACGTGGAGCTGGATACGAAAGGTGAGGGCCGGAGCTTGGCTTTGCTGCTTGCAGCTCCTGTGTCCTTCCTACCTCTCCTAAAATGCGGTGCTTTTGCAGGCTGGAAGGGCTCCGGGRTTAAAAATACGGAGCGAGTGGCCCTGTCCCCCTGCTTGCGGGTCTGGTTTCTGGGGCCTTGGGAAGTCACGTGGAGCCCAATGTGTTGTCTGTTGCTAGGAGACAGCCCTGTAATTTGCAAAATGCTGCCATCCTGCCCGGATCCTGCCCCTGCCCCGGCTCGCCTGTCCCCAGCGCTGCCCTGGGGACCTCCTGCATCCCCGGCCCCAGCTGCTGCCGCCCCCCAGCCGCCTCCCGCGGCTGCCCTGGCCCCTCGGCACCCGCCGGGCAAAGCTGCCGCTTTGGGGAGAAACCTGGGACTTGCTGGGACCCAAATCTCGGCATTCCGGCCGCAGCGGCGGGGCTGGGTGCTGTCCTCGGGGCGCCGGGTGTTGCATTAATATTTAGCAACAGGCTCGAGGCTGTCAGTAAAAGAGTGCACAGCCCTTGACAGCGTGTGTATGTGTGCGGCTGTGCGAGTGTGTGTGTGTGTAAGCGTGAGACTGTCCCTTAAAGGGACAGGAGCTCCAAGCCCTGCAAGTAACAGGCTCTCCGTCCTGGACCTTAGCACTGTGCAGCCCAATAAAGTTGCTAAAAGTACCAAAACTTTCCCTTCTCTCCAMGAATCAGGCACTTGACTAAAATAAGCCTGAATTTTAGAAAATGTCTAAGGCTGAAACGTCTAAAGTTAAGGCATAGGAAACAAAGTGTAGAGAAACATCCACTTGTATTTTGTTTTTCTTTGCAAACATGACATTTCTAGTTTAAAGCTGACTTGTTGCATTCTTTCTTGAGGAAGAGGACATTGTTAAGACCACTGTTAAAAAGAAAGAAAGTGTGACACTGATATTTTTCTTCTGTATTAAAAGATTAAAAAATTTCTGTGCGTAGTCTGTACAGCAGTTGTTATGTCACACGTGATAAGAAGGTCTAGTAGGATGTTATTGACATCGGTGGTCTCTGTTAAAAGCAAAATCATGGTATTCAAGTATTTTCTACTGTAATTTACTTAAGTATACTTCTGAAATTCTACTGTCAGTTTTTACATAGTTTACATAGTTTACATTTACTCGTTACTTTGAAAACTGAAAGTAAAAAATACATTTAATGAGAGATTAACCATTTGTAGCTTTAACAATGTAAATTAAAGCAGACTCGTAAGTGGTACAGGAGAGATCTTGCTGAGAGATGTTCTGAGCAAGCTGACTGGAGTACATTCCTCCTTGTTTTTCTCCATTCATAATTTACCCTGCAAGTCTTGTACAGACAGCTCTACAAGAAAGTTAGCTGCACATCAGGCAAGTTTTTCAATGCCTTTTATATTTTTTTCCTTTTTTTTCTGAGAAATCATTGCATGATCTTAGTTTTAAATTGCAGTGTTTTGTTTGTCATCTGTGTGCTTCTAAAGGTGTTGTTTTTCTTTTTTTTTTTTTTCCCCCCACAGCTGTGCCTATTTCATTCTTAATGAGTGAGATTGGCAGTGTTAGGTGATCTAGTGGAATCAAGTAAAAATACTGCTCCCAAAGTAGCATTAACAGGTTAGAGTATTTGTAAAATAAATACGGGTAATGTTTCAAATTGCTTTTCCRTATTCAGCTTTTCCAGAATGTTGTTAAAATGACTGTTTAGTTGAATACTTGATTTTCGTAGTCTAGGAAAATAAATATTAGGAGCAAAAGCCTTGACTTATCTGTCTGGTCACAGCACAGGCCTAGGAATCTGAAACTAATAAATCTAGATGTTCCCTCTCTGCCTTGGTTTATCCATCTGCAGAGTGGACATACACACTAAGTACCTATTTTTATAGCAATAGTTAAAATCGTTTTGCATTCATAAAGTTATTTTAAAATAACTTTTAAATTTGAMTACATTGTCCTGGGGAGCCAGGAGGATTTAGGAAGCTTTCTAACATTTTATGTTTATTTAAAAGCTAGCTTCAGGTCCAGTATTTCTATATCCTTGACATTGTGATCTCCTGGCAGGGTGTCATGTGTTAATATTTCAAATATTTTAAGCTTTGTCTTGAAGAGATTTACTTTTCATGACTTTATATGAACTATAACCATTTAAATAGTTGAGAATATGGCTGAAGATTTGATGTGTGATTTGAGATTGGAAAAATAACAAAAAAACTCTCCTGCAGCTTTTATTAAAGATAAATGGGTCCTTTTTGGTGTGAAGGATCAAGCTAAAGGTACTGTAGTTTTAAATTGCTCAGAGCAATTCTTGGAGAGTTTGTGGTTTGATTCTTCAGGACTTCCCTGAAACGGGACTTCTCAAGAGGAAGATCTTGCTTGAATTCACCACTCTGTGCTCAGGTGTGGGTGCTGCCCATTRTTTTCTGTATATTTGTTTTCAGTATAAAGACTAGATTAGATCCATTTATCATATAAGCAAAGTTCACACAGTCTCAGAGTGTCTGATTCTGTTTCCTTTGAAGTTGGTAACGGTTTTCTTACAGACTGCAAAATGAGTAGGATTGGCTTTTTTTACAGTAACGAAAAATCCAGTATTAAGAAACTGTGTCTTATCTAGGATTCAGGAATTTAGGAACGAAGAAAGCTAAAGCTTGGCAAAAATGTAATGGGCAACTTGCTTCTGTGGTTTATATCATTGAAGRATACTGCTGAGCACACCTTACACTGGAAAAAAAGAACAAAAAATCCCAACTCAAACCCAATTAGGCCATGTCCTTTTGCAGAAGCATGGCCCAGCTTCTGTGTGTGGCATTGGTGGTGTGAGTAACAGCCAGCCTTGGTGGGCAGGGTGGTCGAGGAGGGAAGTGTCTCAGCTGCTCCGGGTGGTAGCAGAGGGGCGATCCCTTTCCTAAGGGTTTCACTTCTAAATGTGCAAATTAAAAGATGTAGGAGACCTGGTTCAAGCATCACTTCTCCTGCCCCCTCTGAAATGCCCCTTACCCTCCTCAGAGGCTGTTGTGCTGGCTGGATGATGCATTTTACACAYAAACTGCTCTATTGCTGTTTAACAAACTCTTCCATTGTGGTTTGTGCAGGTGAAACCCGCATGCGATTCTATGAGCTGCTAGTAAATGGTCTTTACACTCCTCAGACCCTTCCCGTCGGCACCGAGCAGGATGCATCGCCAACTGTGAATGAAAACCTGCAGGTAGGGGTTGCTTGGCCTTCCTAAATAGTGACTTTCTAGAAAATTCCCTGCGAATGTCCTGTTAAAGTTGGCTTTTCAACACTTTTAATTTAGCTCTGCCTTTTTCTTGTCCTACAATGTTTTATCAGTGAATGTTACTGATTCACATTAAAAGATAACTCACTAATCATTGCCATAGCAAATGTAACTCTGCAAACATGGTTGCGTGTACCAGCGTCTTGTACCAGCGTCTGCATAGCACGGTAAGTGATTTGTGTCCTTCTCAGAATGGAAGATGCCCACAGACCCTTTGCTGCAGACCATGTTAATACTAGAAATTCCTGCACTGGAGAGAACTGGGCAAGATCTTGCCCTGCAATGAGATTATTCCATTGAAGGCAGGAAATGTTTTAAATGGTGCATCTGGCCTCATGTCTGCAGTGTGTAATCCTTAGTATGTGTGTGTGTTCTGCAGTTCTTTTTAAAGGCTAGAAGGGAGGTGTCAAATCTTGAATAGCAGCAACAATTCATAGTCATCAGGATCCTTAGGCATAGGTTCTCCACAGAGAATCTAAATTATCCCTGGAATCAGGTACTAGTGAAAGCAGCAGGCGRCGTTTCCGGAGGCTCCCAGGCATTTCCCAGTATTTGCAGGATGGGTCTCTAAGTGGCTTTTTACCAATAATACCCCCCTGCAGCCCCACTGAAGTGAGGGGGGCCCAGCCATGTGGAGCCACGAGCCCTCTTGGCTTGTCTGTATGTACTTTGGCTCCTGATTTTATGGCTTTGGGAACATGCTTTAAGGCATCAGGCTTTGAAAGCGATCTGGCAGAGAGCTTTAGATMTGCTAAATGTGAATTTCTTCATGCCTCTACTTCTCTGCATTCTTATGACTCTTAAAAAGCCGTAATTTTACTAACTCTATCACATGTTTTCAGGAAAAGAGCTGTGCAATGAAGATTAAAATTGATCTAAAAAACAAAAGTYGTCTCCTTGCCACCAATCCCTGCGACAAGGCAAAATAAATCCCCAGTAACCTCTAGACAAACTCCTATAGGTGCTGACTCTTTCTTACCTCCCAGCAAGATCCTCCTTAAAGGCAGGAAGGAGTGGGAAGGAAGCGAGTGATGGTTTTGCAGGGAGCCCTGCCTGGTAAAGCGCTTGTGTCTGCCCCACCTGACCCAGGAGGAATGAGCAGGGCCTGCTTTTGACTTCTCTTTGCAGCAAAACTGAGGTAGAAATGGCCAGATTTGCTGTTTACTGTGAAAATGCAGCAACAGCAAAACATTTAATTGATGTAACCTCCAAAGCAGTCCCTACCGTAATTAGCTTTAAAACCGTTTCTCTGTGTGTTACATTCCTAGTCTTTCATATATTATTATCCTGAATTGATTTTTTTTCCCCAATTACTACCAGCGTTATTGCTTTGTGGGTAACTTCAACTGTTCACATCACGTTGCTGTTTGCAGAATCTGCCTGCAATGGTAGTTTGCYGTTGTAGTTTCAGTAAAATATTGTTGACTTCTGATTTCCCCCTTGTGCAGAGCAGTGAAGACCTGGCAGTGCCATGAGCTGCAGTCCCTTCCCTGAGGTCACATCCAAGCCCTGTTGGACACCAGTCCACATCAAAAGTGCAGTTAATAGGCAGAGGGGTTGGTCATAGTGGGGACGTGACGTGGCTTGTGCCTTTCCGAGGGTGCTAGAACAGCTGAGGAAGAAAGATTCCTGATGTSCACGTGTTCATGGTCTCTGAGGGTCACAGCAAAGCAAATCTAAATGAAGGATGGGAGGATGTGAGAGCTGAGCTCGAGTGTGAAGGTGCTGGCCTCCTACAAGCAGCTCCTGTCAAGGTTTGCGTCACCTTGCGTTGCCAGACTACCCGACCGTAGTTTGGACTGTGAGTTATCGTGGAGCTTTTTGGGAGCTGGAGCTCAGTCCTGCCTCTTGCCAGCAGAGCCATTCCTGGGGCTCTTGCTATGTGTTGCAGAGAATTGATTCTGGCTCTGGTCGTTAGTGTGGCACTGCTGTGACTCAGCAGCGTCCAGGGCCGAGCAGAGCTGCTCCTAGAAACCCTGAGATGTGCCTGGGAGATGATGTGAGGAGCAGTCACTTGGTTCCTCTGGAGGGTTCCAGTTTTGAGTGCTGCCATTGGTAGCACTTTTTGGAACAAATGGTATGTTGAGAGAAATTCTTTCCTRTCCATTCTACAGCCGTTTCCCTCCCTGCTGAAGACTAACATTTGGCAAAGAGGGTGGTGGGTCTGYTCCCTTGGTGGAGCCAGCCCAAAGCCCCCTGGTTTCAGCAGGCCTCCACGCTGCAGGAAGGGTTTGCTGCACAGATTTAATTGCAGGTTAGCAGTGTGCTGATTTGTATGTTTTGTTCACAGATAAACTAATTTGATCGTTTCATRTCTCAGAAGTGCTCTCCGTTTTTGTGGTTTTAGTGCAGGTTTTTGCCATTTCCTTCCTTACTTGAAATTTAGATGAACCTCACATAGTGGAGAGAAATAGAAAATCTTTTAGCTAAAAGTATTCATGGAAATCTCCTCCTCACCCAATGTAATGTTCTTGTRTATATAGCTTATAGATGGTAAACAGTATTTATGTGCTTTCTTTTTGCTTTTCTTATGGACAAGTTTTTCTTTACAAGCCTTTTTTATCAAGGGGAGCTGTTTYTAGTGGATAATGTATTTGGTTTTCAGGAATGTTAGAACCCAGACCCTTTTTTGTTTTGTTGCAAAGGAAATTGGTGCAAACTCCAGCCTTCTCAACTTCTCTGAAAACCAAACAGATTAGAAAAACAGGTTTTATAGTATATATTTATTTGTTTTCTTTTTCTTTTCTGCTTCTATAGCTGACGGATTCGCTGAAACGCCTGAAGGACAGTAATGTGTCCTCTGCGGGCTCCTCGGTCACCCCCAACAGCAGCACGCCCTTTTCCCAYGACACGGCCTATTCCAGCTGTCGGCAGGACACCCCAAACTCGTACAGCCAATTCACCCCCCAGTCCCAAGGAACCCCTCACACCCCGCGCCTCGGGACGCCCTTCTCCCAGGATTCCACCTATTCCAGTCGTCAGACAACGCCCGTGTACCACTTCGGGCAGGACAGTGGGTACAAACCCAGGAGGCACGAAACCAAGTTTACGGATGCCTATAACCGTCGCCCCGGCCATCACTATGTGCATAATTCAGCAGGCGTTTTCCGAGGGCCGGAGCATCAGTTTAGTACGTTCAAATCTCATCAGCAAGAACCTGTTCAGTTCTCTCACACTCCGCCCTTGAGCCACTCTRGTTCTTCAAGCTACAAATCTGCCTTCTCTCCCTACCAAGCGCCAGCTGTTTTTCCCCAGGCTGATGAGCAGCAGTTTCCCCAAACTTCGAGAGAAACGGAGTACCGAAGACCTGCACCCCCTCCGACTGAGATGGTTGTGGAAAGTAGCACTGCCGCTGCTATTGATTTTGTTCCCGTGAAGGAAAAGCCAGAGGAGCCTCCTCCCCCGCTGCCAGATTCGAACTCTGTTCCTGAACCGGCTACAACAACCTTCTCCCAGACTCCGGAGAGGAGTGAGACCCCCGGCACCCCGACCATGGAATCGGAAATGCAGCATAACAGCTTAGACTCAAGGATTGAGATGCTCCTAAAAGAGCAGAGAACAAAGTTACCCTTTCTTAATGAACATGACTCGGATAACGAGATCCGAATGGAAGGTAGCCCCATCTCCTCCTCCTCTTCCCAGCTTTCTCCAATCCCCATGTACAGTTCGAACTCGCAGCCTGGTTACAGAGCTCAAACACCCTCCTCGCGCCCCTCCAGCACGGGCTTGGAGGACATCAGCCCGACGCCGCTGCCTGACTCCGATGACGACGAGCCCATCCCTGGGACAGCTTCTCTGAGTCAGAATTCCAGGGCAGCGTCGGARGCCGGCATGACTCCCGTCGATCCCCTGAGCAGGACCTCCAAAACAGAGACCTCGGAGGTTAAAGAAATGGTGCCTGGTGACCAGACTCCAACATCAGAAAAAATGGATGAGGTAAGTGAGCTGGGAGCGAGGTATCGAGCTCGGTGCGTGTCCCCAGGTTTGGGCATGGGAGTTGCTGTGTTTTTCTCATGGCTTGTGCTGCTTAGAGCATAGGGCGTCTGGTGCTTTTCTTCTACTATACAGCTGGAAATTAGCTAGATGTGACAAAAAGTCTTAATCTACTTGTGGGATTGATGGGTTTCCATGTTTATTATAGCAGCTCGCTGCAATTTATAGTTCCAGGAGAGCTCAAGGACTGAACAAGCTACTGAATTTTGCCCRCTGCTCCTGCTATGAGTGTCCTGAGTGTCGACAGACACTCAAGCCCCTGGAGCAGTTAATTGAGTCCTCTCTGCCATTGCTGAGGTCCCCCACATGGGTGCCTGTGCGTGCGTGCGCCTGCTTAAAGGGGCTTTCATGTTACGCCGCAGTATTGAATGTATACTTTGTTTGATAGCTCTCCAGCTATTTCTGCCATCTGCTTTGACCAGGAGACAGTTGCTGGGCTTTAATGCTCCCTTTGCTCCCTTGAGAAGGGGACGTAGTTGTCTGGTGAGGGACGGGCTCCACTGAGTCCTCCAATAATGGAGCAGAGCTGCTTGACTGGGGCATTTGGGGCTGAAGGGACAGCGAGAGCTGAGCGGCGTGGAAGGGTGCCAGCAGACAGGGAAATTGTGTTGCGTGGTGTGTCTGTTTGGGAACTCTGTTACAACAAATGTGAGTGCCCCTACAGCAGAGCTGCTGCTGCTCATCTCCTGTGTCAAGGGATGGTGGAAATCTGGATCTTTGCAAGAGCCAGACCCTTTTTCCTCAATATTTGTACCAGTAACGCCCACAGATGAAACTACTGTCCCTGGTGTGCAAGAAGTCTGCAGCAAGGGAGAGCTCAGCCATTCAGGAGTGCTCCACTCGTGTAAATGAGCCGAGTGTAATAGATCAATTAAATTTGCTTATAGAAGTTTGCTGTGGTTAAGCTGGCAGAATGCATTTCCCTCCAGTGGTTCGCAGTTCTGAGGTTTTCACCCCAGAAGTGGCTGCGTTTCAGGAAAGGTGGAACCGCTGCTCTAGGTAGACACTTTGCAGAGTGCTTGTCTGGAGGAAAAACACTGCGGCAGGAGCGTATAGTGCCTGGCTCAGGGTAAATAAAAATCTCTGCAACTGTCATGGATGTTTTGCGTTCTTTTTTATAAGTGTCTTTCCAAACCTGCCTGGCCTTGCAGTTGTGGCCSCTCAGGCTTCACTGCAATTCAACTGCTCCAGGTCCTGGTCGTTATCTAGGCTGGCCCAGSCTCCCCTCCCTGGAGGCAGTCACTGCCCGGTGGGACCCGGGATGTGTTAGGAAGTGGACTTCGATTCCCTAAGCTTGATCCAGCAGGACCGGGAGGGGATCTTCTAGGCTGCTTATGAGATGAGCGAGGCATCCCTGATCAGGCCATGCAGGCTGTGTGTCTGTTCTCCTTGTGCTGGGAGAGGCAGCCAGTTCTGAGCATATCTGGGAGGCTCAGGAGCTCCAGCGTGGTACATGGGGGCCGGACTCCGTCGGCATCGGGATGCAGCCGAGGGGATTTTGTGTTTGCCGGGTGTGAGATGGGGCAGCCACGCGTGGACGCGGAAGCCGGGTTAAGTCTTTGTCTCCCCTAATGAGGTGTCCATGTCAGGAGTCCGTGCTGATGGTTCTGTGATGCCAAATGAAATAAATATCTCGATCCTCTGCCGAAGCCAAGGAAGGGATGCCAGGGTCTCCGTGCAGGTCACAGCTGCCTTAATTATCTGCTCCCCSCAAAAAGTTCAGTGTTGTTGGAGCTGTTTATCCCTCCCTCCTCGTAGTTACAAATCACGCTCAGCTATCCTGGTGTGATTGAAAAGTTGCCTGTGCCTTTCACTGCTCCTCCTGATGTATGAAAAGCATCTCCATGTGGTTTTGCTTCTTTCCCCTGCCCTTCTCCCCTTTTATTTTTTTTTCTCGCTGTAGAAAAGGGCTCTCCTGGCTTTCCTGTGCTGAAGGAGGGGAGCTGAACAGGGACTTAACACAGGCTGAAATTTGAGCTGCAGCTTTGGAGCAGAGTTAGAGAGGGGCATTGAGCCCGGCTGAGGGCTGGAAGCTGAACCTCCAGCTTCAGCCTATTGTGATACCGCTATTCAAGCCGAGCCCTCCAAAGAACCCTCCTGCAAACCAGAGCCAAGGCAGCCCGAATATTCCTAGCGACTGCAGTGTGGGGAGCAGAGCAGAGCTGATATATTAGAGAGGACTAATTAAGTATCATAAGGAAGCAATAAAGGGCAGAGAGCTTGAACCGCTGTTTACTTCATATTTGCTTTTCAGGGGTCTGAGCAGCTCCCTTTGGGTGTGTGCTCTGGCTCAGGACTCTTAAGGACAGCAGCAAAATTGCAGGGAAGTTTTCTGCCTGAGACAGTAAGAGCTTTTCAAGGACCTATTCCTGCTCCCTTCAAAATGAGTAGGATTTTTGTCAACGATTGCTAGTTGAGTAACATTTGTTGTGCAGCTAATGGGCTGCCAGATCACGGGGCCAGCTAATGAACCCAGTAAGTAAAGAAGGTGAAGCCAAGGCCCGGTAATTGCACCGATTCCTCCCGCAAGACCCCGGAGTTTGATTACAGGATCCGGTATGATACTGCTAAGCCCGAGCTTGGCAGTGACTTTGGATGTGGGAAGGAAGGGCTGTTGTCTCCCTGCAACACCTCCCGCCGACTAATCTCCCACCAGTGATTATGGTCTGCAGAGAAAGTCCTGCTGAGCCCTGCCAGGGCCCGGCTGGGGTRTGGGCACTGTGAGGTGAGGGGGGGAAAGAAGGATCCTTTGCAAACAGCACAACGTGCCAGCCGGTAGACGGGGCAGGAGGGGTTTTCGGGACTGAAGATAGCAACGAAGAAAACTAGTCTAATTACATGGTTACATGAGAGAACTTTTTGAGGGTAGCAATGTGCACACATTCTTTATTATGTTGCTAAAAGATAACAAGGAAGAAATCGTCACAATATCTTTTCCATAGAATCTTTTTGTGCTGTTTCAAAAGTGCAGAGGTGGAAGTAAGCACCGCTCGATGTTTTAACATCCCACCTGAGCCAGGTCTTGGTTTTCCTTGGCCTGCTACAGGAAGAGGCCCTGGCTGCACGTGCTGGGGAGGGTGGCAGTGTTACAGCACTGGTTGTAAATCCATGGTGCCTTTCATGGCCCAGCTTTTGAACATGCTTGTGTGTGTAGTTTGTGTGTGAGATCATATGAGTGACAGGGGTATCTTTGCAGATTTATGAAGAGAAAAATATTTTTAATTAGGGACTAAAACTCCTGATTTCCTGGCAGCTTGGATAAGTGCAGAGTTACTGTGATGGGGAGGGTACCCAAAATGCTGAAGACAATCCTTAATAAAAGAAGATCCTGAAACATGCACGAGGTGCAAACATTCCTGCTGATGCTGGGTGGGAATCTTGGCCAATGTTTTGGGGAGGAAACTGGGAGCTGCACAGTGCACAGCAGCCCTAGGGCCACCTGAACCCCTGCTGCCCCCAGCAGCCGCGTGCTGCCGTTTGCTGCCCTTGCCGCTGTGCAGGACAATGTCTCTGGGGCTGCTCGTGCAGCCTGGCAGGAATTCTGAGCTGCGCTTACACGGGAGCACAGGCCAGGTGACTGGGGCTTGTCCCTGTAGCACAGCTCTCTGTGCCCCGGCGTTACATCAGGGCTGAATGTGGAATTCAGGGTTCTCGTGTGGAATCCTGGAACTGGATTATATTTATGTCCAAGAGCCACGATGTCCCCGTGAGGCCCTCGTGGGACACCCTGACGTCCTCCTGGACGCAGCACCATGGCCCATGCAGGGTTCGGCACGCCGGCCGCACTGCGCACGAGAAGCCCACCTTGCAGAGCAGCAGGTCTGCAGCTTCCATGGACTTCAGCAGCCCTTAAATGGGGCTCCTGAGACCCACCTGGAGCCGCGGTGCCCGCAGAGGGTGTCACAGGGGGATGCAGGGCGCAGGAGTGACTTAGTCCAGGGAAATGCATGGTGTGATTGAGAACGTGGAGCCYAAGAGCAAGGAAATGTGATCCTTTGGTTTCCACAGAAACTGTGGAAAAGCTCTTCCGGCTATAAGGAGCTGTTATGTATGTCTAATATATATGGGTACACCTGGGATCCAATTTGCAGGTAGTGGGATCCATCGTTCCTGGAGGACGGCAAGATGGGCGGAGATGTGGTGAGTGGTTGCTGTGAAATCGCTGTTTTTTTTTTTAATTGAGGAAAAGAGGAAAAATTCTTGCAAGAGCAGTCTCCTGTGCCCAGGCTCATAAAGGCTTTTTCAAATTTTCCTGCCTCTAGAGCTCCTGTGGATGCCATCCTGCCTCCCAGGGCCGGCTCCTAATGGAAACTCCAGGCCCAGGTGTGTGGGAATGAGCAGGAGTTTCCAGAGGTGCCGCCAACCAGGCGCCCCAGCAGGAATGGCTGCGCTGCTCCTGCCTGCACRTTGGGGCTCTGGGGCTAAACCTGAACCAGGAGCACGCGGCTTAAACCAGAGATTCTACCCCGACCCGCCAGAGCAGCAGAGGGAAAAATCCAAAGGTGCTTTAAACACAACACGGCATCAGATGCTTTTGAGGCCTCGGGGATCTGCTTAGTGTAAGCACGTGGTGCTGCTCGAAAAGCTYTCGCTTTGAGACGCGTCTCTAGGCCTCGTAGTCAGCGCCTGCAGGGTCCCGAGCGGCCGCAGGGTCGTCCCCGCGCGGCCGGCACTTTCCCGCTCCGCGCCGGCTCCCTCCGCCTTCCTACCACATCTCCAAACCTGTGGAAATCCGGGCTGTGCCGCTGTGTCCTTCCAGAGCTGGCACTGCAAGACCGCAAGCAGGGGCTGCTTCCTCGTACGTCTGATTCATCTCCCATGTGACAGCCTGTTATTCCTACCCAAATTTCTGTGCAGCAGAGAAGTCGGGCAGCGCTTGCCGAGCTGTGTCTGGCCGAGACTCCAGTTGGGCTCTCGGAGGGCGCACGAGGCCGAGGCCACAT